AAGCCATAAAATGTCTGGCTAACCTCCAAAAATGATTGGCAGCCATACTGTTTATTTCATGAACAACTGGTGTTTTCTACAATTTTTCTACAATTTTCTATATTGTACAAAGTGTCTCTTCTCCTTGAAGTCTTGTTTTTCTGTGCATACTCACCCTGGTGTAGCAAATTGTGAATTAGAGGAGGCCACTGCAATATCACAACTGGCTACTAATTGGCATCCTGCTGCAGTTGCAAGTCCTGTAAATTGTACACAAAATGATCCTTCAATAAATTACAAAAAACTACTCTGTGAAAGCTGCAGAGTGAAAAGATTAATGACCATGGAGGCATATATGCATTTATTTTGTCTTTAGTTAATCAACCATTTTCTTGGTATGATCAACCACAATTCTGTAAGGTTCCTCTTACTCATACGGAGTACTATACAGTTGGTTCAGAGCAACCTTATTGTTTTGATGATTTAACCCTTTAAGTCCCACTAGTGACCTAGACAGAATTTCTCCTTACAGTATCAGTACTATAAAAAGCAGACAAGTAATGAGAATAAAGAAATATATAAATTAGGGCATTATTGGTTGATCCAATTTTAAATTCTCCAAACTAACATAACATAAATTGTATGGCAGACTGTAGGGAGAATTACTAATGGATTCTTGAGAGTTAAAGGGTTAAAGTGGCTCTGAACCCATGGCCCTTCCTTTACTGTATGCAATCACCAAAGAATTGTGCAAGAAATAAAGAGAGCACATTGACTAGGAAACAAAAACTTTCTTGCCAATATTCCTGCCCATAGATGTCAAAATGCACTAGCATTCATGTGAATTCCTATACCTACCATTCACTTGTGCTATGACAGGAACAGAAATATCCTGAAATATTTGAATTAAATTTTTAAAAAAAATAAATTTGTGTTTTATTGTTTAGGGGTTCTAAACTAATTATTTTGTTTTCTTTTCAGTAAATTTTCAACAATTTCTCTGTGTGTTACTACAGAAATGACAGAAATTTAGTGACAATTGATGCTATCAGGTATACACAGAAAAATTTCAAAAACCTTTTCTTCCCAACATCAATTTTTTTTGCTAATTCCCATTTTTAGAAAAAACACATTAATGGGAAAAAGAGAATTTCCAATTTTTCTACTGAAATAACATTAATGTGTTTTTTTAATTTAAGTGTTTTTTTAGCAATTAACATTAATACTGGGAAAAATCATGGATGGTTTTACATTGATATCCATTTATGGGATTTTAGGGAACTTAAAACATTATTGTGATTTATAAAAACCATGAATGTGTATAACTTAGGACCATTATTGGTATATTTATTTCCCATCAATGCGTACGCCAATAACCATTCATGTTATGCTATTTGACATTAATGGAATATAACATAAGCCTAAACCATTAATGTGTAAGGCTAAAACCATCAGTGGTTTATTATTTAAACCATTAATGGGATAGAGCTTCAGTTAAAAACCATTAATGTAAGATTGGAAACATCAATGTTTTCTTTCAAGGAACTTAAAACATTGATGTAATTTATAAAACCATGAATGTATATGACACTGGACCATTATTGGTTTATCTATTTCCCATCAATTGTGTTCTCTAATAACCATTTATTTTACATAAATGGAATATATGACGTAAGCCAAGCTGCATGCATAAATTATATTAAATAAATGTGTAAGGCTAAAACCATCACTGTTTTTTTTATAATTTTAGAGGAGTTTCAGTTAAAGACCATTAATGTAAGATTGAAAATTAAACGTGCTGCCAGTGAGAATGCTCTACTGAACGTGCAACTGCAGCACCATTACACTTGGAACAAGGACAATGTACATGTCTGGATTTTAGCTCTGAACAGTTTTAGCAGACGATATCATCTCTCGTCCAAGCAACAGCCTCATCATCAATTCGTCGTCTTTTATTACTATCAGCTTCCATGATTTTGAGTGCGAAAAAATCGAGCGAAAATCACAAAGCGCCAAATTTCCCGCGCAACGATTTCTTGCACCAATCACATCCCTGCATATCCACGACCAGCCAATCATGTCGCAGTATGTCAATCCCCCCCCCCCCCCCGCGTAACTCCCCGCTGTACATTGTTTAGCAGGGCGCGCTGCGAAGACTACTTCTGTCTTTCTGTCGATTGATGTCGAGGGCTGTTATACAAATTGGGAAGCTATTAGGTCTTTAGTTCTACGAATAAATCGTGACATAATGAACGCCGAAAAACCAGTGGAAGAAATGGATGTTCGTGAAGTGTTCATTTTAATAGAAAAGCACTTCAATACTGAAGTAGCGGAAAAGTTCGAAGGTACGTTCAACAAGTGTCAGAATCGATTTGTAGATTTCGTCACTGAATCTTACACATGTATTTTACAGTGAATTGAAATGGCCTAAATTCCCTTTATTTATTGTCTGTTATACTATTTTAACTTACCGTGATAAAGCTGGAAGGATTTTTAACAATTTCTCACAGTGAACACAGAATTTGTCATTTCGGGAACTGATTTTGCATTGCGTTGATACAGGTTGATACTAGTTTGGTTTTGGCGCGAAATAATTGTACGTTAAAAATGTCCCCAATGAACTTCCCCAATAATTTTCCATCGATTATGACACTTTTCCAATTTTCAAATATGTTCGAAAAGCAGGAAATAATATATCATATGCAGAATTCTTGTTGAAAATGGAGATGTTCTTTATGAGTTGGTAAGGTTTCCCAGAGTTATGAAAGTGGACATCACGTAATTGTGCAGCTTGTTGCATCGAATACATTGTGTAGGGTACATAACTTTTCAGATGTGTTCATACAATTTAAGCTTAAACAATTTTTCTCACTGCTCGTTTTGATTTTATGCAAACAGCCCAAAAGGTTGATGGAAAAACCTTGGTCCTTCTCTCTAAACGTGCATCCCAAGAACAGTACGAAGCCTGCGGCCTTCTTACAGTTGCCGACCAGCTAAAATTAAGCTCCGTGGTCAATAGTTCTGCCGAGAGCGGGTCCACTGGTTTTGAAGTGACGACAATCAAACCCAAAAAGCCCTCCAAAGCGCAGCTGCTGCAAATAAGTGAAACTGCACGAAGAATTTACAAGACCAAGTAAGTAACTGTCAGGAATGTGTCCTTTTTTACTGTATTTTCTAACTTCATTACAGAAATTTTTCAACCGATTGCATTTGCTCGAAGTGTTTAAAAACAAATTTAAATGCATAATGTAGCAGTAGTTTCTCGAACAAGGAGGAAGTATTTGTATTTCAAACCGTCACAATTTAATAAATCTATGTATGAATGGTTGTCTTAAATATTGGATATAAATTTCCACAATTTTTTTAAATCCGTTTCCTTATTAGGAGAAAAGCTATCAGAACTGCGGCAATTAATAGATGGCCTGGGAATGACATCCCGAATTTTAAGAAGAACAAGGTCGCTGTTGACGAGTTGAATGATCTTGTTAATGACCTCAAGGAGGATTGCTCGTTTCCACCTTTAAACTTTGGCAAAGAGGGTATCAAACAACATATCTTAGACGTTCTTAATGAAAGAAGGAGACATAAAAGGAAAGGACATGACTATTCTCAGGTGAGCTTAATGTCAATAACATTAATTTTTATATATTGACCAATTATTTCTTATTCATGCATGCAGACCTTAATTTGGAAGGAGCTCGAACCTACGGAAAATATTTTGTTTGCTTTACAACAAAGAACATCTAAATGAACATATTGCTACTAACTTAAACCCATATAAGTTAACAAATTATGATGAAAAAAAAAAACAGCTCATGTTTCTGTACAACCATTTACATGATTTTTTTGACATTGCAGCCGGATAAACGGACTCTTAAAAGGAAAGTGGATCAAGGAACAAGTTCTGACAGCACTAGTACTGATAATGATATTGGTGGCTCAAGTTCAGCTAGTGGATCAAGTGCTGATCATGAAGAGATTGGAGACTCTGAAGAGACAAATAACTCTGGAGACACAGAAAGTGTAGAAGAATCCGATGAAAACGAGGGTATGCATTACACTGTAAAATATATCTGCATGCCCCCAAAAAAACATTTGCCCCCCAAATGTAATGAAATTGTTTCAGAGGAGTTTGTAATCTTTCGTAGATCTTGATGAGGATACTGCCAAGTTGGTTGTGTGCGTGGCCTTTAATGCAATTCAAATATCTCAAATTTCACGAACCCAGCTGCAGTCTTCAGCAAAAGCTCTTAAAATTACAACAAAAAAGAAAGAGAAGAACGATCTAGTGAAGATAGTTGCTGAAGCACTTGTAGAGAAAGGATTTGTCAAAGTGTTAAATGGACACTCCAAAAAGGTCTCACGAGATGACATTAAAAAAATTAAACCATTTTAGCTCACCAGCTAGTGCTTCTTAAAAAGTTTTCAAAAGGCAAATTTTAGTTGAGTTTGTGGAACTGAAGAAAAAAGAACTTTTATTGGTAAATTTTAGTGAGTTCCAAGTTGCTTGTGTGTTTGTTGGATTTAAAGTCACACTATCCAAAAAGAAAGAGAGAAAAGGTCTAGTGAAGTTGGTTGTTGAAGCACTTTTAAAAGAAAGGATTTGTCAAAGTGTCATATAGACACTCCAAGAAGGTCTCACGAGATGACATTAAAAAAGTTAAACCATTTTAGCTAACCAGCTTAAGTGCTTCTTTAAAAGTTTTCAAAAGGCAACTTTTAGTTGAGCTTGTGGAACTGTCAAGAAGGAACTTTTTTCTCTGGTAGCGGAAAGATAAGCAGCCCGAACTACCCAATGAGTAAAATTGTTAATTTTAGTGAGTTCCAAGTTGCTAGCTATATAGTGTGTGTGGCATTTAAGGTCATACACTTTTTTAAGAAATTTCTAGAACCCAGCTACAGTTGTCAACAAAAGATCTTAACATTTAGACCAAAGCAAAAGAAAAAAAAAACAGTGAAGTTGGTTACAAAGTCAAAGTGTAAGGATGCTCCAAAAAGGTCTCACAAAGTAACATTTAGAAATTAAATCATTTTAGTTCACCAGTGCTACTTGAAAAAGTTTTCAAAGGGCAACTTTTACTGCAGTTTGTGAAACTGTTGGGTGCAGAAGTTCAAATTGACTGTACACTTTATATTTATATTATTTGTAAGCAACATGAAAGGCCAAAGATTGTACTTTTGTTACAGCAGCCATTAAAACGAGTTTTTCTGTCAGCTTTTCCTCATTATTGCTGAAAACTGTGTGAGTACGACATTTGTGTTTTTTAATTTGTTGTTTTTTTCCCTTGCAGACCACCTGTTGGAAGAAAATGTAATGTCAGCATCCATCCCATCCATGGAAAACATCAAAACTCCATCAATGGAAAAAGCCATTATATTTAATTCCCGAACTATGTACCATTGCATTGATGATTATTTTGTTATAACCATCTATGGAATATTTCTAATAAACATATATGTTTTTATATTAAATTCCCAATAATGGGATTTCCTGAACTACATACCATTGCATTGATGATAATTTTGTTATAACCATCTATGGAATATTTCTAATACACATCAATGTATGTCTTCAGTATCTAAAAGGCATTAATGATTTTAATGGAAATTGTTCAATTCCCAGGAGTAGTTATTTAAAATTGAAAAAATGTTAAACAGCAAAAAAACATTAATGTTTCTTGATTGCCACCATTAATGTTTAATGGACATTTCACTTGATGTTTAAATGAAAATAACTATTTCTGGTTATTATTCACTAACCATCAATGGTTTGTGCCTCTTACATTAATGTAAATTATTAATAAAAACATTAATGGGAGATGTCCAGCTTTTTCATTAATGGTTATTCCTCGTGGAAATTTACAGATTACCATTTTCTTTACCATTGATGGTTTTCTGGAATTTTTTCCTGTGATAGTAGATCAACCTTTTCTTCCCAACCTCAATATGCATATTCTCCATACTGTTCTCTGTTCATTTCCTAAGGTACTGACAAAGAGAATTTGTTTGACAATCAAGAGTTTCTTTGGTTGGCAATCATTTCCTTTACACTTGTGATGTTAATGTGAGATTAAGGGGTGATATTGTAAGGAAAAATTAGATGTTAGCCACTCTTAGAGGTTTAGGGAATAAAAGAAAAACTGAGTACATTAAATTACACACCTGAACAAGTGTCATGACTTCAGTGCAACGATGAAAGATTTGGGCATGATGGTCAGTTCCTTCTTCTTCTGTCTGCAATTTGTAATAGAAAAAATTCTCATTCAGTGCTCAATACACTTTGCAGGCCAGTTTGAATATTTTAAAACTACCTCTGAGGACTAGGTTTGTAGTGATAATTGTCTTAAAAATTTTTTGAAAGGGTAGCCTGCTCCTGCAAAACATAACTTAAATGAACATTTTTTTAACACCAAAAGAACTTGTAAGGTGATGATCAACTACAAATTGTTGATGGTAAAAGAACCTAAGAAGCAAATTTAGCTTTTTAAAGCGCACCAAAGCAGTTTATATACCATTGATCACCAACTTCAAATCCTCTGCCAAACCAATACAGCTCAGCGACCTAGTCATTTTGCTACAAGGACTGTGGCCTTACCAGTTCTTTAAGGTCATGTCCAGAGGAAAAAACACCTCCATTTGCAGACAAGACAATAACTCTAAGTTCAGAGTCTACATTTTGAAGTAGGTTTGACTTAATTGCATCCAGCATTTTCAAGGAAAGGGCATTCCTGAAGGGAAAAAAGGCACACTATTATTAATAGTAATAAATTAATAACAATTTTTCACATGGCTTCAGCATCCGCACAATGTTCCCAGCCAAACAAACAGTTTCTTTCACGTGCAAGCACTCATGAGTTTCATTCCTCTAGTTTTAGGGTAATGATTGAAGGACTTTGTGTAGTTATTACCACTCATTCAATGGTTCCATATGACTTGGCAAAGTGTGTAAGAAAGTAACACGAAATCTGCAGCCTCAAAGTGATTGCCACAGTAATAATTATGAGTTAGTGCTTTACCTTCGTTTTGGATTGTTTAGTACAATTCTCCTTATGCCATCTTCTTGACTGCAAATCGTGAGACTCTCATCTTTTGTTTGACTCAGAAACCCCTTGCTTAACTGAAGAGCAGCCAGAGAGTCATATCAAAAGTCAAATTATAAGCTTAAGATTTTTATTGCGTGACAGCTGATGACGGCTAAACACAAATTAACAATCATGCATAGAAATCAATGGCAAGTAATCAAATTTATTTAGTTTACTATCTACAAGATTCTACAAAATAACAGATTTATGTTCTCATTTTACATTTTTCTTAACAGCACATTTTTAGAATACTCAGCTAACTAACTATCTACAAGGGGTTATATTATACGCTGAATTGTACATTGTATTTTGATTGGTTCACAACTATGATCTCTCGGAGGACAGACGCACGAAAGGCATGTTTATGAGAAGCACTCCTATGAAGTGCGGTCTAGAACAGATATAATTACCTGGGCAGTCAGAGATCTCTTAAAAGGAACACGTCTACTGACCGATTGCAACATTTTACTCGTGTCGAAGACAACTTATAATGAGTGTCATGTAAGCCTCATAGTATGTCCACACGGAGAAGATGGCGGATATTCTGATATAGTCAGGTGAAATTGTTGCGTGGGACTAGGGCTGGGAAGGAATAGGACCTCGGGGCCATTTCTCGAAGGTGCCGGTACCTTAACGGGCCGGTAAAGCTGTTCTGTTAACGGTCTTGGTATAGTTTCGAAAAGAAGTAAGTCTAATTTACTTTTAAACAAATTTTCATAAAATTCAGGGCCGTGCAAGGAAAGATCCATATTCATATTTTCTGCAAGGAATGGTGGAACATATGGCAGCAGCCGAGCATTCAACAGTATACTAAACAAAATTCACAAAATTGCCATCTCCGAGGTGAACTGGGACGACTCAATTGATTACCAAGGGACATGATAATTATTTTATCCTGTAACTTGGAAATGACCGTTGAGCGGTCGAAGCATCGTTACTTTTTAACGTTATTTGCTCAGTTCCATGTTAAAACAGACAACCTTTATTCGAAGAGACATTGGCAAAGTGAAGAAAATTGTTACGCAAACGCGTCGACGGGTGGTCGTTGTTAGAGCTGTTTTTCAGCTGCTGTTTTCAGCTGAGAACGCCGGCCATTGGTTCGGTGGCAAATTTTTGGCGTATCCAAATGTTACGACATCCAAGACTCGCATTTGATAGGCTATCTGTGAGTTTCTTTGACTATTGACCAATCAGAATGTCTGGTTTGTTACTTCTTTGCACTGAAGTAACCCACTTCCGCTTTGAATTACCTTAAAACTGCATTCATCTTAACCAATCAGAACTGAGTAATTTTTTCATGTATATTATTTACTACGAAATCAAACAAAGTGCGGTGTTCATGTTTATGATAATTGCATAGTTGTACGTGTTGTGCGAGTGCGAAGGTGACAATGTATTGCAACATAGTGCAACAACTTTTATAGTGAAATCCGTTTCTAAAAATTGTTTGATTCTAAGATAACTTTCTCATGTAAAGTCAATCGGCGAAAAGACATTGGTAAAGTGAAGATTATTGTTCCACAAGTGCGTCAACTAGTTTTTAATTAAGGCTTGTCGAAATTGGATCCGGCGTGGGTATCCTCAAGGGAAAAATGTTCAAAGTCCTATCAATAATTCTTATTCTGGGTAAGTACCACGCGTCTGCTTTGTGAAAGTCTATTGCTTTTTTGGGGAAATTCTGTAGCCCGTCATTAAATGAATCCAAATGAAAGAGAATCTAGATTGTCATTCATCTGCTACGTGATGTTCAAACGAATCAAACTGTTGAAACGCTGTGAACTTTACTCGCTGTGTAGTTGCCTCATACCATGTGCCACCGCACAAATGATTTTGTTTTTTGTTTCTTACATGTAAAGTCAATCAGCCAAGAGATATTGGTAAAGGAAAGATAATTGTTTCGACAAGCGCATCACAAGGATTTTAACTTAGGCTTGCCGAAATTGGATCCGGCGTGGGTATCCTAAAGGGTAAAATGTTCCAAATCTTTTTAACAATTTTTACTCTGAGTTAATACCACTCGTCTGCTTTGTGTAAGTTTATTGTTTTTTGAGGAAATCCTGACACGTTCTGGCTCCATAAAAAACCAAGGATACACATTGTTTTGGGTGAAGCTACTACTTTTAATATTGTAGCGTTTTTTATCATTATTGCCGCAATTTTCTCGTATTATTTCTATGTAAATATTTTGGAGTTTTACGTCAGTATCAATTAGCAGTTTTACAATTGATTACCTAGGGGCATGATAATTATTTTATCCTGTAACTTGGCAATGACCGTTGAGCGGTCGAAGCATCGTTGCTTTTTGACGTTATTTGCTCAGTTCCATGTTAAAACTGATAACCTTTATTAGAAGAGACATTGGCAAAGTGAAGAAAATTGTTACGCAAGCACGCCAACGGGTTTTTAACTAATGCTTGTCGAAATTGGATCCGGCGTCGGTATCCTCAAGGGAAAAATGTTTAAAGTCCTATCAATTATTCTTATTCTGGGTAAGTACCACTCGTCTGCTTTGTGAAAGTTTATTGCATTTTTGGGGAAATTCTATAGCCCTTCACCAAATGAATCCAAATGAAAGAGAATCTAGATTGTCATTCATCTGCTACGTGATGTTCAAGCGAATCAAACTGTTGAAACGTTGTGAACTTTACTCGCTGTGTAGTTTAGTTGGCCCATACCATGTTTTTTGGAAATTGGTTATATTCATATCGAAAGGTATCCTTGGGTTGATTTTTATCATCTTCGAAGGAAGTTTATATGAGATATTTTCATTTAACCACATTTAAACGTTTTTTAATAACTTCTTTTTTACATTTGACTCGTATAAATTGGGTGTTACAGGGTAATTTAGTTGATAACGGAAATTGGCCACCGTAAGGAGTTTCAAAGCTGTCGTTTCTAGGGTTAGCCCTTTATTAGCCCTTCGTTAGGCATTCGCTTTGACGAAGGGCTAACGCTGGAAAAACTTGTAATATGATCGGTCACATTTGTAATATGACCAAACTTGTAATATGATTGGTCAGTTTTGACGTGATGTTGTCAATGATATATATGACTCAATTTCTTTCTCTTCCCCATGTTAGGTCGTTAAGTTCGGTTCGTTTGTTGTGTAATTGTAAAAATTTCACCTCCTTTTTTTATTCCTAATAATATACATGAAAAAATTACTCAGTTCTGATTGGTTAAAATAAATGCAGTTTTCAGGTAATTCAATGCAGACGAGGGTTCATTAAATCAAACAAAGTGCGGTGTACGTGCCTATGCTACTTGCATAGTTGTACGTGTTGTGCGAGTGCGAAGATGACAAAATATTGCAAGATAGTGCAACAACTTTTATAGTGAAATCCGTTTCTAAAAATTGGTTTATTCTAAGATAACTTTCTCATGTAAAGTCAATCGGCGAAGAGACATTGGTAAAGTGAAGAAAATTGTTCCGCAAGCGCGTCAACGGGTTTTTAACGAAGGCTTGTCGAAATTGGATCCAGCATGGGTATTCTCAAGGGAAAAATGTTCAAAATCCTATCAATGATTCTTATTCTGGGTAAGTACCACTCATCTGCTTTGTGAAAGTCTATTGCTTTTTTGGGGAAATTTTGTAGCCCGTCACCGAAAGCGACTCGCTTATCAACCAAAACTTTGCATGTTTGATAATGTAAAGAATAAATATGTTGGTCCTCAGTCAAAAGTTCACATAAAATACCTGGGCGTTCTTATTGATCACAATCTCTCTTGGAAATACCACATTGATTCTATTGTTACAAAATTAATAAAAATGTTGGGCTACTTGCAAAGCATGTATAAGTCACTAATTAATCCTTATTTAACCTATGGTCTTGCTGCCTGGGGTCAGGCATGCAAGACTTATCTTAACAAAATTCTAATTCTTCAGAAAAGAGCTGTCTTCGTACTTCGCGGACTGGCATGACCATGCAGTTCCTTTATTTCTCGAGGCTAACGTGCTTCCAATAATTTTTCCATATTATGAGTCCGTATCAACCTTAATGTACGATATCAATAATGATAAAGCCCCAGCAAACATGTTAAATTTATTTCAGAAAACGTCTGATATTCACTCATACAATACACGATCGTCTACGTCATCATTTAAGAGTCAGTGACTTCTTGTCTTTAATTTGTGTTTTTCATGTACTTATCTTAACTTTCCAGCAATTTGCTGGGCAAACTATCACTTTTCTTTTTTTGTACAAAGAACAAAGAATAAATTTTAAAGAATTGAATAAATTTAATTGAATACTGAAGTGGCTCGTTTACAGAACCTGTTTCATGTTACGTTTGGACGTGACGACGAAGTAGCAAGTTGCAAATAAAATATCCGATGAACTTATTTCACGCACTGACTTGTCACGGAGAATTTTGGGGAGTGCTTCTGAAACCACACCTCAAGCACGCGACAGCTCACAGTTTGACGAAGCTATCGTGAATATTATCTGAACAAATCAGTATAAGAAGCAGGAGAAATGAAAACGGTGACCGAGCTATTTACACTCCTACATTCATCCTAGGTTTCCTGACATTTTGTCGTGCTTACTGAAAATGTCAGCGTGCCCAAAGCTGTGGTTAAATGCAGATACTCTAATTTTTAAATAATTTCCTATGCATGTAAAATTTGAGCTTAGATGATCAGATGGTAACTGTAGCTTTGGTTCAGTGGGAAGCGCGTAAATCAGCTCGTTTTAACCGAAATAACTACAACTAATAGAATAACTTATATGGTATAAATTGTGGCTATAATTTCTGCTTGAGCGTCTTTGCTTCGTGGAAAGTATTTCGTAAATGAACTTATTTTTTTCTCAACGATCCAATAACTGATGGTGATCTTTCCTTTACAGCCGGCAACTCATCTGAAGTCAACTTAAATGGTTGGAGTGGATATTTTTGGAGCCCTAATTTTCCCAAAAACTTCCCAACAAACAGAACATCCACATGGAATATCACGGTACCCAGTGGGAAAATTATCAAACTGATCTTTTTGAACTTCACCCTGGTAACAGGTGAAAACGATGACTGCGCTGGAGCAGCAGCAGATAGTGCCCGTGTTTTTATATCAAACGTTGCTTCACATGGTGGAAAGCCTGGTGACTTTAAGATTTGTGGTCAAAAGCTTCCTCCTCCTGTTTACTCAGATGGAAATTTCCTTCAAGTGACATTTGAATCCCGCGCCACCGTAAACAAAGGATTCAATGCCTCTTTTGAGGCGATAGATAGAGACACACGTAAGTGTTTTTGATCGTGTATATTGTGATATTTTTATAAAAAATAAAGGTACTCTCTCTGTCTCTCTCTCTAAGGTGGTTTGTGGTGTTCTATCTAAAAAGGCCTTCAGCGTGATGCTGTCAATCTGACAGCCCCGGTACTTTGTTCATAAGGAGCCTCATGACTGGTGAGAAAGAGAGACAGACATAGAGACAAACAGACAGACAGACACACAGAGGGACAGACAGAGAAAGAGAGAGAGGGAGACAGACAGATAGAGACAGAGAAAGAGAGAGAAGCTTTAATCGCACATTTCATTATCGCAAATAAACGAAAGCTCGTTTTACGTGAACTCAGTAATTACAGTAGATAAGAGACATTGTCCTCAACCTCACGTAGACTTTTTTCATTTTTTCAGTGTGTCCTACAGATATGATCCTTGATGAAATGTCAGGTTCTTTCTCCTCTCCGTTCAATCCAAGAAACTATCCATTCAACCAGACATGTAGCTGGAAGATTATAGGGAAACAAGGATACCGTGTTGAGCTCACAATACCAGACTATAATCTTGAACGTTGTGGTGGCGCCGCGTGCTTGTGTGATTATATGGAAGTTCAGAATAGCTTCAGTGATAAAGCGCTGCCTGGAAAACTATGTGGCACACCAAGGTTTAGTCCTGTAAGATTTTATTCACTGCACGAAAGCCTGAGGGTGGTGTTTGTGTCCGATGATACAAACATGGATTATAACGGATTTCGGGCAACTTACAAGCTGTTGAACTACAGTCCTCCAAGTAAGTAGAGAAAACAACGTCATGAGATCTAAGAGTTCGCTGAGAGAAGATGTTTCATGAAATAAATTCACCCATACAAGTAATGATATGGAGCTTACTTAATAAAATTGGAGGTTTCCTCTGTTATCAACTCAGGGTGAATGCGAATCTCTGATATATTGTGTAAGCGGTGATGTATTGGGAAGCTATGCCAACTTTAATTTATCTCTTAACAATCTTCATATTCTTGAATTAGGGGGTAAGAAAATGTGGTGCTGCGTCGGTGGGGGAGTATAACAAGATAATTTGGTTTCATCAACTGAGTTTATAATGTAAATTGGTCACCGTAACGAGTTTCAAATATTCATATTCTTGCCTTGGGGCTACTTCCTTATAAACACCATATTGGAATGTATCAGACTGAAGAGTATAGTTTTGAGCCGTTTTGGTTTGTATAGATTTTGGCCATTGGTCGAATCAACAATTAAAAGATAAGCATTTTGATTGCTTGTTACTAATTACTTATTGTCCCACACTCACTTGCTCCTTTTTCATTGTTTACAGTTTGTCCCAAGGAGGCAATCCCTCTCTCAGGCAGCGGGAAAATAAGCAGTACAAACTACCCAAAGAGTAACTACACTGCGTCTAGAAATTGTACCTGGAACATTACCGCGCCAGCTGACAAAATTGTCAAGTTTACGTTTACTGACTTTGTCTTAAGTGAGTGTTCAGCCAATAATTGTTCGGATTCTTGTTCTTATGTGGAGCTTTATGATGGTGGGTCAACAAGTTCGCCTTTGCTGGGGCGATTTTGCCAGGGGTCGTCTTGGAATGAGACTCAGTTGTCGAGTGGAAACCAAATGTTTGTGATGTTCCATCCTGGAAAAGCAGTTGCTCGTGGATTTGAAGCGAAATATGAATCCACAACGACCGGTGGTGAGTACCCTCTCAAGTTTATTCTGAATATCGTCTTTTATAATCTTCAAATTTTCCTCTTACGCGAGTTTGGTCTTGATCAGTGGTGAAGCGCTGCCTGGAAAACTATGTGGCACACCAAGGTTTATTCCTGTAAAATTTTATTCACTACATGAAAGCTTGAGGGTACTGTTTGTGTCCGATGATGCAAACATGGATTATGACGGATTTGGGGCAACTTACAAGCTGTTGAACCACAGTCCTCCAAGTAAGTAGCATATATATATATGATCGTCAGTCCGTCTTTTCCATGAAACATGCTTATGCAGCATCAAAATAAAAGAATACCAGCAAAAACAGCAAAAAAAAAAAAAAGAAAGATTCAACTAAGAATAGAGAACGCCATTTTTCAAGAAAGTGATTTGGGGTTAGGGGAACATGTTTTTAAGAAATCATATGCCTGATTATTAAGGCTGCCTCCATGAAAGAAGAGCTGTTTTATATCGTTAGTATGAAGCAAAAATTTGAGACATACGGGTCGCTTTTCCGATGGTTGCCTTGCTAGCTAATCCCATTAAGGAGGGGGGCATTGGGATTTTGGGCACACCAAGGTTTATTCCTGTAAAATTTTATTCACTCAACGAAAGCTTGAGGGTGCTGTTTGTGTCCGACGATACAATCATGGATTTTGACGGATTTGGGGCAACTTACAAGCTGTTGAACCACAGTCCTCCGAGTAAGTAGCATATATATATGATCGTCAGTCCGTCTTTTCCATGAAACATGCTTATGCAGCATCAAAATAAGAGAATAACTGCAAAAGGAGCAAAAAAAAAAAGATTCAACTAAGATAGAATAGTGAAAGCCATTTTTCAAGAAAGTGGTTAAAAGAACATGTTATTAAGAAATCATATGCCTGATGACTAAGGCTACCTCCATAAAAGAAGAGCTGTTTTATATTGTTAGTATGAAGCAAAAATTTTAAATATACGGGTCGCTTTTCCGATGGTTGCCTTGCTAGCTAATCCCATTAAGGACGGGGGCATTGGGAATTTCGGTTCTACAGTTTGACTATTTTTTAGATCGGTTTTTCAGTTTTTTCGGTTTCTACGCCAAAAACTTCGCTTTTTCGGTTTTGGTGTTCATCGCGATTTGCAGATTTTCCGTTTTTTAGCATTTGGTTTTCGGTTTTCGCGAAAAATACTAACGGGTTTTCGGATTTGCTATGTGATGCGGTTTTGATTTTTCCTATTTGACCTATTTGGCAATTACGCGCCTCCACTGCTGATCTCGAATAGCTACTAAACGCAAATGTTATCGAGTGGAATGCTTGACAAACCAATTGAAATATCGCAGGGATCCCTAGGTAGCCTGCGTGTAGCCGTACCCTCCCCCTCCCCCAAGGTGAGCTGGGGAGGGGAGGGTAAGCCTACACGTAGGGTACCGTTAGGCACAGAACATTGCCAGAGTTTCTTTATCGACGCCACCTCGAAGTTGGTGACCAAGTTACAGGCCACATGTGACTGATTGATTTAACATTTCAATGGAATCTCCAAACTTTCAGGTCTTAGTTCGAAAATAGAAATATTAGATGAGGGATTTTCGATGAAACTTTCCAGAGCTATCAGTATTTGCGACTGCAAAATTGCAATCCTATTGAGGACTTTTGTGCGGATTTCCTTAATTTAACTGGGGTCCATTACCAGCTGCTGTGTCCGCAGAGACCACGCTCGAGGCCCTCGAGAGAGCATCTGTTAATTTAAGCAGATACTAGAAGATACGAATGCCAAGTCCATGGCATTCTTAAATCCTGTAATGAAATTAGTGTAGCTTACTCTGTATGCTCCACCTGTCACCACTGTTTCGGATCGATCAGGGTTTTAATAACTGCGATGTGAAAATGTATCGGTTTTGACAGTTTTGCATGCGGTTTTCGGTTTTGATCGAATTTTTTTCCGGTTTTTTGGTGTTGGATGATTTTCTCTACGGTTTTGCGGTTTCTAAAAGGCCTCAATGCCTCCCTCATTAAGAATATCTGTTAAGGTGCCTTCCCTTTCAAGTGACATTCGACCGGAACAAAAGAGGAAGGAATGATAGCAATGGTTTTTTCTCCTCTCAGATATTTCAACGGAAATATTTTTATTCCAGTTTGTCCGAAGGAAGTAATTCCTCTCTCTGGTAGCGGAAAGATAAGCAGCCCGAACTACCCAATGAGTAACTACACCATGTCTACCAATTGTACGTGGAAAATAACAGGATCTGCCAGTCAAAAGATAAAGTTTGCCTTCACTGACTTTGCCCTTAGTCCATGTGCTGCCGATTGTAATTCGGATTCTTGCTCCTATGTTGAGCTTTACGATGGTGGCTTGTGCAATTTTGTTAGTCTTTGAAAAAATTTACTCGTGCTTATTTATTCCAAATTGCACTCGAAATCATGTGATTACCTTTACAAACTGTACGAGAAAATCATGTATAATATTCATCAAAAAATAAGAGATAGCTTCTCAGAAGCAAAGCGCGCGCATCAAGTGCAAAAATAATTTATTCAAACCGTGCGTTCGGTCAAACAACCGCGAACGATGAAAACAATAATATACAATGATATTTTCACATCTTTAAGGCGCAAAAAGTTCAAAGTCCGGATATACAGTTCAAGGAATTGTTCAGTCTGTGTCCCAATCACTTTCGATGAAATGGAATCGTCGTTTCTCAGGTTTAACCATGCTTGTTTTTAATTTCGGCGTATAGTAGCACGAGCAAAGTGTTAAGCTGGGTCGGCTAGTAATTTTCGATTTCCTTGGCAATTGCCTGCTCTAAACAACACTTTTTCCAAACCGACAACCAAAAAGCAGTGCTTTTTACGGTGTTTTCGTTGTTAGAGCTGTTTTTCAGCTGCTGTTTTCAGCTGCTGTGGCGGAAGAAACCCTACTGAGAACGCCGGCCATTGGTTCTGTGGCAAATTTTTTGCGTATCCAAATGTTGCGACATCCAAGGCTCGCATTTGATAGGCTATCTGTGAGCTTCTTTGACTATTGACCAATCAAAATTGCACACACCCTACGGGCTCATCCAGTTTTGTTTTCTTTGAAAAATTTTACTCGTGCTTATTTATTCCAAATTGCACTCGAAATCATCTGATTACCTGATTACCAAAATTCTGTAGCCCGTCACCAAATGAATCCAAATGAAAGAGAATCTAGATTGTCATTCATCTGCTACGTGATGTTCAAACGAATCAAACTGTTGAAACGTTGTGAACTTTACTCGCTGTGTAGTTAAGTTGTCCCATACCATGTGGCAGCGCACAAAGGATTTTGTCGTTTGGAAATTGGTTATATTCACGTCGGAAGGTATCCTTGGGTTGATTTTTATCATCTTCGAAGGGAATTTATATGAGATATTTTCATTTAACCACATTTAAACGTTTTTTAATAACTTTCTTTTTTACATTTGACTCATATAAATTAGGTGTTACAGGGTAATTTAGTTGATAACGGAAATTGGCCACCGTAAGGAGTTTCAAAGCTGTCGTTACTAGGGTTAGCCCTTTATTAGCCCTTCGTTAGGCATTCCCTTTGGCGAAGGGCTAACACTGGAAACACTTGTAATATGATCGGTCACATTTGTAATATGACCAAACTTGTAATATGATTGGTCAGTTTTGACGTGATGTTGTCAATGATATATATGACTCAATTTCTTTCTCTTCCTTATGCTAGGTCGTTATGTTCGGTGCGGTTGTTGTGTAATTGTTGTCCCAAGTCGTCTGTTGCACAGTGCTGGTAGTTGTAGACATCTTGTACAATGTACGTTTGAACGCTCCTCTTCGTCCTCTGAATTCCAACGAGACGATTTATCAAAGTAAACTTAGATAATTATGCCGAAAGAGAGTCTGAGCCCGACCTATCTTGTGGAGTATTCATTGATCTTAAAAAAGCCTTCGACATCGTCGATCGCAACATTTTGCTTGATAAGCTCAATCACTATGGCTTTTGTGGATTAATTAAACTAACTCTTACATTAAAAAGTCCAAATTGTAATTTTTCATCCTTACCAAAAGCGACTCGCTTACCAACCAAAACTTTGCATGTTTGATAATGTAAAGAATAAATATGTTCGTCCTCAGTCTAAAGTTTATATAAAATACCTGGGCGTTCTTAATAATCAGAATCTCTCTTGGAAATACCACATTGATTCTATTGTTACAAAATTAGTAAAAATGTTGGGCTGCTTGCAAAGCTACGCCACTCTGTACCTCGACCATTACGACTAAATATCCATGTATAAGTCACTAATTCATCCTTATTTAACCTATGGTCTTGCTGCCTGGGGTCAGGCATGCAAGACTTATCTTAACAAAATTCTAATTCTTCAGAAAAAAACCGTCTTCGTTTGCTGTACTTCGCAGACTGGCACGACCATGCAACTCCTTTATTTCTCGAAGCTAACGTGCTTCCAATAACTTTTCTAGTCCGTGTCAACCTTAATGCACGATATCAATAATGATAAAGCCCCAGCAAACATGTTAAATTTATTTCAGAAAACGTCTGGTATTCACTCATACAATACACGATCGTCTACGTTATCATTTAAGAGTCAGTGACTCCTTGTCTTTAATTTGTGTTATTCATGTACTTATCTTACCCCGTCATGATTAGCTTTCCAGCCATTTTCTTTTTTTGTACAAAGAACAAAGAATAAATTTTAAAGAATTGAATAAATTAAATTGAAGACTGAAGTGGCTCGTTTACAGAACCTGTTTCATGTTACGTTTGGACGTGACGACGAAGTAGCAAGTTGCAAATGAAATATCCGATGAACTTATTTCACGCACTGACTTGTCACGGAGAATTTTGGGGAGTGCTTCTGAAACCACACCTCAAGCACGCGACAGCTCACAGTTTGACGAAACTACCGTGAATATTATCTGAACAAATGAGCATAAGAAGCAGGAGAAATGAAAATGGTGATCGAGCTATTTACACTCATACATTCATCCTGGGTTTCCTGACATTTTGTCGTGCCTACTGAAAATGTCAGCGTGCCCAAAGCTGTGGTTAAATGCAGATACTCTAATTTTTAAATAATTTCCTATGCATGTAAAATTTGAGCTTAGATGATCAGATGGTAACTGTAGCTTTGGTTCAGTGGGAAGCGCGTAAATCAGCTCGTTTTAACCGAAATAACTACAACTAATAGAATAACTTATATGGTATAAATTGTGGCTATAATTTCTGCTTGAGCGTCTTTGCTTCGTGGAAAGTATTTCGTAAATGAACTTATTTTTTTCTCAACGATCCAATAACTGATGGTGATCTTTCCTTTACAGCCGGCAACTCATCTGAAGTCAACCTAAATGGTTGGAGTGGATATTTTTGGAGCCCTAATTTTCCCAACAACTTCCCAACAAACAGAACATCCACATGGAATATCACGGTACCCAGTGGGAAAATTATCAAACTGATCTTTTTGAACTTCACCCTGGTAACAGGTGAAAACGATGACTGCGCTGGAGCAGTACCAACGAGTGCCCGTGTTTTTATATCAAACGTTGCTTCCCATGATGGAAAGCCTGGTGACTTTAAGATTTGTGGTCAAAAGCTTCCTCCTCCTGTTTACTCAGATGGAAATTTCCTTCAAGTGACATTTGAATCCCGCAACACCGTAAACAAAGGATTCAATGCCTCTTTTGAGGCGATAGATAGAGACACACGTAAGTGTTTTTGATCGTGTATATTGTGATATTTTTATAAAAAAAATAAAGGTATTCTCTCTGTCTCTCTCTCTCTAAGCTGGTTTAGTGATGTTCTATCTAAAAAGGCATCCAGTGTGATGCTGTCAATCTGACAGCCCCGATACTTCGTTCATAAGGAGCCTCATGACCAGTGAGTAAGAGAGACAGAGAGACAGACATAGGGGGAGACAGACAGACAGAGAAAGAGAGACAGGGAGACAGACGGGAAGACAGACAGACAGACAGAGACAGCGAAAGAGAGAGAAGCTTTAAGCGCACATTTCATTATCGCAAATAAACGAAAGCTTGTTTTACGTGAACTCAGTAATTACAGTAGATAAGAGACATTGTCCTCAACCTCACGTAGACTTTTTTCATTTTTTCAGTGTGTCCTACAGATATGATCCTCGATGAAACATCAGGTTCTTTCTCCTCTCCCTTTAATCCAAGAAACTATCCATTCAACCAGACATGTAGCTGGAAGATTATAGGGAAACAAGGATACCGTGTTGAGCTCACAATACAAGACTATTATCTTCAACGTTGTGGTGGCGCTGCGTGCTCGTGTGATTTTATGGAAGTTCAGAATAGCTTCAGTGGTCAAGTGCTACCTGGAAAACTGTGTGGCACACCAAGGAATATTCCTGTAAAATTTTATTCACTGCATGAAAGCTTGAGGGTGCTGTTTGTGTCCGATGATACAAACATGGATTATAACGGATTTAGGGCAACTTACAAGCTGTTGAACCACAGTCCTCCAAGTAAGTAGCATATATATATGATCGTCAGTCCGTCTTTTCCATGAAACATGCTTATGCAGCATCAAAATAAGAGAATAACTGCAAAAGGAGCAAAAAAGAAAAAAAATTCAACTAAGATAGAATAGAGAACGCCATTTTTCAAGAAAGTGGTTAAGGGAACATGTTATCCAGAAATCATATGCCTGATCACTAAGGCTACCTCCATAAAAGAAGAGCTGTTTTATATTGTTAGTATGAAGCAAAAATTTTAAACACACGGGTCGCTTTTCCGATGGTTGCCTTGCTAGCTAATCCCATTAAGGAGGGGAGCATTGGGATATTCGGTTCTGTAGTTTTGACTATTTTTTAGATCGGTTTTTTCGGTTTCTACGCCAAAAACGTCGCTTTTTCGGTTTTGGTGTTCATCGCGGTTTGCGGATTTTCCGTTCTTTAGCGTTTGGTTTTCGGTTTTCGCGAAAAATACTAACGGGTTTTCGGATTTGATATCTGATGCGGTTTTGATTTTTCCTATTTGACCTATTTGGCAATTACGCGCCTCCACTGCTGATCTCGAATAGCTGCTGAACGCAAATGTTATCGAGTGGAATACTTGACAAACCAATTGAAATATCGCAGGGATCCCTAGGTAGCCTACGTGTAGCCGTACCCTCCCCCTCCCCCAAGGTGAGCTGGGGAGGGGAGGGTAAGCCTACACGTAGGTAGATCGAATTTTTTTTCCGGTTTTTTGGTGTTGGATGATTTTTTTCTACGGTTTTGCGGTTTCTAAAAGGCCTCAATGCCTCCCTCATTAAGAATATCTGTTAAGGTGCCTTCCCTCTCAAGTGACATTCGACCAGAACAAAAGAGGAAGGAATGATAGCAATGGTTTTTTCTCCTCTCAGATATTTCAACGGAAATATTTTTATTCCAGTTTGTCCAAAGGAAGTAGTTCCTCTCTCTAGTAACGGAAAGATAAGCAGCCCGAACTACCCAATGAGTAACTACGACATGTCTACCAATTGTACGTGGAAAATAACAGGATCTGCCAGTCAAAAGATAAAGTTTGCCTTCACTGACTTTGCCCTTAGTCCATGTGCAGCCGATTGTAATTCGGATTCTTGCTCCTATGTTGAGCTTTACGATGGTGGCTCAACAAGTTCTCCTTTTCTAGCGCGATTTTGTGATGGATCGATCCTGAATGAGACTTTGTCTAAGGGACACGAAATGTTCGTGAGGTTCCATTCGGGAAAAACAGTTGATCGGGGATTTGAGGCAGAATATTATGTGGACGATGGACAAAAAGGTAAGAAATTAGAAAAATAGCCCTTAACACTGCACATTATGAATGATTTTTCAGCTCGATTAAATCTATGAGCACAAAGCTAGACTACTTGTAGAGCGACTGCGTGTGAATGTGTGTGTGTGGTTTTTTTTTTTACTTTTACGGTCTTACGAAAGAAACGAAAGAAGAAGGGTTGCAAACTCGAATAGGAAGTTTAGGTGGGAAAGGACAGGGTCGAATCCTGTTCCTTATCGTCTTAATCTCCTCTTGATCAACATTTATTTTTTCTGGATCCCACAATCTGTCAGTTTTGACCTTGCGTCTTCCATGGATAAAGCTGCAAGTGTGTATGTCCTTCTTTCCTAACTGAAGACAGCAAGTTTTACCCGAAATGGCGATAAATGATGCTTCATTTTAAGAAATCATCCCTGAAAAGATAACAACGTAAAGAAAATCAATTCTGCTATTTATAGTAAATGCCTTTAATTTTACTGTTTAAGGTAAGAAGTATTGCCAAAGGAAACCGGATCTTGTCGCGGCCATTTACGGAGGCGACGAAGTAATCCGCGGAGTCAACGAAACCATCATGATGAACGCATCATTATCATACGACCCTGATGTCGGACAAGGCAACCACTCAGGAATGAGCTTTACCTGGTATTATGGTGAGATCAATTGTAACCTCTCCGGACGGGGTTGTAAAACAAAAGATGTCTTCACAGGAGTAAACGAGTCAACGATCCACTATTCTAGGAACGCCTTTGGTGTACAAATGATCTTAAATACTTCAGCCATGTCTCCAAACAAGACATACATAGTGAAACTGGTCGTGACCAAGGACTGTCGCAACGCAAGCGCTTATCAAATCATCCATATGAAGAATTTTAACCCCTTTCAAATATCCCAAAGGTACGAGTTTTTTCTCTTTGGTTGTTTTAATTTTTCCTTTTTTATTGCCCTTTTTTCAGATTAAAGGTGGAAATTGAACCTTAATTGTCTCTGCAAGACCTTAAGTTCTCATCGGATCACTGAAGGAAAATTTGCGTAATTTCAGCCTCTCTGTCTCTGTCAAAAGATACGTCCGAAGTCGTTTATGGTTCACTTCCACGCTCAGCTACTCAGCAGGGAACGTGCCTGTCTCACAAATTACAAAGTAACAATCATTTATGATCTTTGTTTTTCAATGTTCTTATATTTTCAGTTTCCTTATAAACCACGAACTCAAGGTCGTCAGTCCGTCAGTTAAGCTCAGTGTCCAGGCAGAATGCCAGGGATCACAGTGCTCTGAAATATCTTCCTATGAATGGATTCTCTACGAGCTCTACAGGTGCAATTCGTCAGTTGTATGGAGGAAGCAAGATTTACAGCCTATCACTGATACGCCGCTCGGTTCAAGCTACATAGTAATCAAGGAAGGATCCCTTACTGGTGGAGAGAACTACCGCTTGAAACTATTCGCGACAACTAGAGACGGTTTACAAGGGATGAGTGCTTACGACTTCACCACCGCGTTACCCCCTACAGGGGGGATATGTGGGATAAATCCGTCAAGCGGCATCTCACTAAAAACCGATTTCAACCTGACTTGTATTGACTGGAAAAGTGATCAGAATCCTCTGTCCTACAAATTTCATTATCAACTAGAGAATGGTGCGCGCAGCATGCTATATCAAGGCTTGAACAACAGTGTTATCTCTTGGCTACCGTCCGGCGACATTTTAACAGACTATTCTATAAAGCTCATCCTTACAGTGACTGATAAAGTCGGTGCGTCTGCCCCTGCCGTTTACCTATTGGTCAAGGTAGGCTGTTAATTTCTGATAGCGCAGTTTTCAATTGACAGCCAATCATAGCAAAGGTCTGAGTGATTATTACCAATGAAGACCTAAAGTAAAAACAGGCAAACTATCAGTAGCGCAGGAAAACACGGGCGACCATAGAAGACTAATATGTGGCCCAGACAAAGAATATCCTGAAAGACTTCTAGAGTTAAAATGGGACTCTTTAGAACTGAGAAGGCAATACCTTAGCCTAGTTCAAATGTATAAGATTATATTTGGTCACTGTGATATCAACTCCATTATTACTTTCATATTATTGGAATAACTCGAACTAGAAGTAAGCATGAGTATAAAATAAGGCCTAAAGTTGCTCGTACAAATTATTTTAAATATTCTTTTTTTAATAGATATATTAACGATTGGAACTGTTTGCCTTCTGAAGTAATGTCATCCCCTAGCCTTCAGTCTTTTAAAGCTTCACTAATTAAGTACCTCCGCTCATAATTACCCCAAATACCAGTTTTTTTTTAATTTTTTTATTTTTTTATTTTTATTTTTGGAGGGTATGTCTTAGCATGGGAATTTAGTTTCCCCCTACTACCGTCCTGTCAACCATTTTTGTACTTTTGTTCGATGTATGGTTACGAACTGTGATTAAAGACCAAGTTTTTCGTTTGGCATCTGATCGGTTTAGAGCCAAGTTGTTCTTGGTCAAATTCGGCATACTAGCATCAGGGCATTTTATCAATCTTCTTTCCAAAACCCGTTTAATTTGACTCAAATCATCGAATAATAACCATATAAGAAGACTGAAGTTGGTCTTTGATTTTCCTTAGGTTAAGCCTCCACAGTCTTTGGGAATAAAAAACGTCTCTGGCATTCTCACAGCAAATGACAGCTCATTTAATGAAGCCATTAACAATGGAGACTTGGATAAAGCTGCACAAATAGCAAACTCTGTTCTCCAAATTATTTCAACTGATACTAAAATGGATTCACAAGATAAAGCTAGGGTAAGCAAAGCTTACAATAGTACACAATTTACATATAAGTTGTAGTTAGTTACTACTGCTCATTACACTGGCTAGCAAATATGACAACAGTAAAGCTCCTCCACTCCTGTTTGTTCCGGGCCATCCCAGTGATGATTCCCCATGTGTGATTTAAATATATCAACACATCTGTCACACATTGTAGATTCAGTTTATAACTCAAGACACTGAAACGTACAAATCTTCTTGTGCTTGCAGATTCAAGATTTAGTCATCAAGAGGATTGTCTCGCTGAAAGTGAAAAGCATCTCAGCGCTGCTCCAAAGCTCCTCTGTGATTTTTTCTGCTCTACGGGTGGCGGAGAAAGTGTCTCACAAGTCACTGGTGAGTTAATTGTTATGAGCAGCTCATAATGCATTTGGAAGCAGTGGGCTGTCTTCAGTAGTTTCATGTTCAATTCCCTGAAGGATATATTCAAGGTTTCGTTCGTAAAAATAATAGCGTCTAAATGACACTTTCGAATTCTGGTGCTGGTTTTAACTCTGTATAGTCAGTTCAACTCTGGTCTGATTGAATAGAATCAATTTGGTGATAGGGTAACTTTTACCTCGATAGCATACAACCAAAACGCAAAGGTGACAGTGCATTACATCCCCAATTATGGCGAGGCGTAATTCCTCATTCGACCTCAAAGCCTTACGGGGACTTGCATTATAACTGTCGAAAAGAGGCGATAATCGATCGAAAGTCCCTCTTCATCGTGGAAAAAAGGATAAAATGGCCATTTATGCAATTAATTGTTGTTTTAGTGTTTCTTTAAGAAAAAAACGCTGTTTATTTGTTGAATTCATATGTGTAGTGTAAGGGTGCAAAACCAACTGAACAATCGGCACATCCTGTAGTGGTAAAAAATAATCGAATATAAACGTTTTGTCGCACTTATAATTAACACTTAACAGGAATCATCCCTGACTGCTATTCGCTCGATGACCTCACTTCTCTGGAGGACTTCCTATTCTAAAAACGTAGCTGAAATTCCTCTGGTACCTCAATCTGCACACAACTTAGCTTTGTGTCTTGAAAACGTGGTAAAAGCAGGAGCAGTGAGTGCGTCAAGTCATGAAAGTTTAAATATCCAGGAACAGGTATCAATCAGATAGGTTTTCAAAACTATAAGACGTATTTATGTCAGCTTATGACGTTTAGTCTACGTTAGCTATGTAAGCGAGTGAAGACACATTTCAAAAGGTTTTCATTGAGAGATGAACTCACTGTACATCTGGCCATGCCTTCCTGTCGTGTATCAATCATCGGTTAACACAATAAAAAGTTTGGCTTGTGAAAGGATTATTTTGAAATTGTACAACAAAGTTGTAATCAGTGTTGGCCAACCACAATGATTGTAATCAGGAGAATTTGCTACCAGAAAGAATTCTTATAATTGTTTTTAAATGATACTATACATTTGATTACGGTTGTTTGGGAGCGATAACGAAAATCTCCCAAATGCGACTAAAAATGCCGCTAAAACTGCAACTAATTGCGACTAAATGCGGCTAAAATTGCGACTAAAACTACGACAACACACACGCGAGAAATCGTAAGCGTAACTTGCTTACGACTGATTAACGTTAAATGTCTCAGCGCGCACGCGCTAATTGCACGACACGCCAGTCCGGTACTTTCTTCTTAACAACGGTATAAATGTCTTTCTCAGCAATGCCGATGGCATAAGAGGACTTATCGTCCTTTAGATCTAGCAATCAAAGACGTAAGGTCTAATGCAGTGATGACTTAGCGTTCGCTCTAAAGCATGGACGTCTTTACTGGAAGCATTTCATCACCTCTAATATATTTGTTTTAGATTTGATTAAGTTGCTTTTGTTCTTTGATATTTCGTACAGGGTAAATCATTGGTAAATACTTCTATGAAGGTCCTTGGTGAAGTTTCGGCCGCAGTGCTGGCTCTAAAGGTGCCGGATGAAAATATGACATCGATCACAACGAGAGAACTGTCCATGACATTAGGGCGACACACCCCTGAGAGACTTGCAGGGTTGGAGATAAAAGGAGGAAATGGTCGGTTCATTTTCCCGCCGAACAGAACAGAACTAGTTCCCAAAAATAACGGAACACGTTTCGTTGATATTCAGGTAAGAGCACATTGTGCAATATTCTGGATCTCGCTCGCAAGAAGCCTTTTACCAATCTTGTTAACACCAAGTTGATCTTACATGAATGAGTATGAACTCGTTTAAATTTTCACTAGGATTCGCAGAGAGCTTCCCTTTTCTAAGTCATACACGATTTTTTTTACAACTGATTTGAGGACTTTGGTGACTATCATCACATGAATTAAACAACCGCTGTACTTGATAATTCAATACTATTCTGTCAACAAGAATGACTTGATGTATTCCAACCGATTGTAGATGGTGTCTATTTCGTTCAACCCATACACTTGGCACAGTACAAAAGAGCGAGTCAACTCTGATGTTCTAGTCCTGAACTTGAAAAACGACAACAGCGAAATGTTGGAAGTATCAAGTCTAGACGAAGAAATTGTCATTGTTGTGCCGTTAAAACCACAAACACCTTCCAAGGAGAAGTCATGGTATTTTATAAAGAAAGATGAGCTACGTTTCCACGAGATAAATGTCACGCACAAAAATACCCTACTGATACTGGAAATTTTACCGCAAGATCCAACTGTACATCTCCTTGTTTACATGCGCTTTGGTCAGCGGCCAACGACCCAAGAATATGACCTCAATGCTACTATCTCCCATAGCGGTAATTGCGTGTGGAAGCCAACTGCGCAAGGCAAAAAAGAAGGAGAAACGGAGTGCTCTTTGAATCCACTTACACCGATAGAAGCTTTAGCTAAACGTCCGGGAAAGTACTATCTTGGTTTCCTTAGCGTCGTAGTCAAAGACACCCCAGTCAGTAGCGCAGTTTATGACTCCAAAACATATCAGAACTATACTCTTAAGGTGGCTTTAGGAAGCTGTGTGTTCTGGTCGGATAAGCATGAGATGTGGATAACAACTGGCTGTCGGGTGGGTGTTTAGTTATTTGAATCATTGGTTAATCTGTTTGAAAGTTTACAATAATATCTACACAATTCAGAGACTTCATGGATCGGTGTGTAATCTTGGACAAATATATGTGTTGATGATAATATGATGATGTTCGTTTCATTGGAAAAATGGCGATGACAACTACTTTTAACTCAAATAGTTATTCTTTATAGTAAAATGCAGTAAACTTGATTACCATTTCTGGTGCCAACAGTATGATCTGAAAGATATGAGAACCAAAGCATTCTGTTTTTGTGAATATTTGCAGGTTTTAGCTGCAACAGATGGTTTTATAAACTGCAGTTGTAACCATCTGACAGCATTTGGAGGAAGTCTCTTAATTAAACCGAATCCTATCGACTTTGACAAGGTTCAAGTGGAGTTTAATAGGTTACCAGAGACTGGAAATATTGCAGTTATTGTGACGTTAGCTACGATCGTCTTCTGTTATACGATCGCACTCATTATTGTCAGGAAAACTGACAAACGCGACGGAAGAGATGTGAGTATGAAAACAAGGTTTTTTTTGCATCGGTTCATTGAGTGAGTTCTCCATTTAGAAAAATACATATAGATTTGTTTGAGGTCACATACATTTTAAAATATTCTCCAAAAACTATCGTACATTCGGAAAGTAGCTGGCGAGTGAGAAAAGAGCATTTGGCGAGTAGTGGCTTGTAGTTCCTGCCCATTATACTGGCTGTAACATAGGGAAGCAACGAAGGTCCTACATTCCCGTCTCCTCCGGGTCAGCTTGATAATGGTGCCTCACATGCGGTTTCAGGCTTTCAGCTCCTTTGCGCCGCAAGGCGTCGTGTGTTTCAGACTGCATGAGATCCTCCATGCCCGCCAAGGCCTGAAACCTGTTCTTCAGTTGCAGCACAAATATATTATTCACTTTGGAATCTTGGAGTTTCCCAGCATTCTGAAGCTCTCCTTATCTTACAGTAAATGGTTTTAACCCGAGGGTAACATGTAATAGTGTAGTTTGATCGTCTGGGTGAGTGTAGCCCTGACAAGGACTGTTGTCGGTAATGGTGACTGACGTTTCGACAACCTGAGCGGAAGTCATCATCAGAGTAAAGTGAAAGGTTGTTGTCAGTCGAATGTACTTAGTCCGGTTTGTATAAACTGATCGGTCAGTTTTGCAGAGAGAATAAGACATGTTTTTGGCTGACACGCCTCCTACATCGGTGAGACCGGCAGAAGCCTCACAACTAGACCGACTGAACACAAACGAGCGACTAGGAAAGGCGATGTCAACAATTACATTGCTGAACATCACCGACTTACGAACCACACTATTTACTGGGACTCTGCGCAATGCCTAACCTACAGCACCAACTACTTTCAACGACTGACCCTGGAAAGTTGGTTTACTAACTTGGAACAGACTCCCCTCAACAGGTGTCAACCACTACCGGCACCATACAAACGACTCATTCACGACATTAACATTACAAACGAACCGAACAGAACGACCTAACTTCACTAATGGATCGAAACCGACCAATCACGACTGACCTACGCCACTTGAGTCTTACCGCCAATAATATCACGCCAAACTGACCAATAAGTTTATAAAAACCGGACTAAGTACATGCGACTGACAACAACCCTTCACTTTGCTCTGATGATGACTTCCGCTCAGGTTGTCGAGACGTCAGTCACCATTACCGACAACAGTCCTTCTCAGGACTACACTCACCCGGACGATCAAACTACACTACTACATCTCCTAATCTTATTTGTATCTTATCGTCCCCCACCCCCCCCCCCTCCACAAAAAAGGGAAAAAAAAGCGGATCAGCTAGTGATTAATAACGTGAAAGATATCTCTAACAGGCCTTTTTCCTTTTTATTAAGCTTGGTCTTCCAACACAACTTCCAGCCCCATCAAACTGTACATACGAGTACGAAATAGTGATCACTACAGGGGTCTGGAAGAACTCTGGCACAACTGCTCAAGTTGCCATGGAGATTTACGGTTCTGATGGAAATAGTGGCATTCTTCGGCTTTGCCAGGGAGAGCTTGGTGCAGATGATATGTTATTCTCTCGAGGTAATTCAGACCTCTTTGTACTTAATGTTAACAACTCACTTGGTGCAATACAAGAAGTGCGGATTGGTCATGATAACTCTGGTGACAGTCCCTCCTGGTTTTTAGAGGAAATTTTGATCCGTGACGTACAATCTGATCAGTCGTGGAAATTCATAGTCGGTCAGTGGTTCGCTCTTGAGCGCGGAGATGGGCGTATTGAGCGAATATTTGACTCAACTGCAACTCAACTAGATTTCAGCAGCGAGGTTGCAAGACTATGGCGGAGAGGCCTCGCACAGTCGCATCTTTGGATTTCAGTTGCAGCCAAGCCAATAAGAAGCCGCTTTACAAGAGTACAGCGGGTTTCTTGCTGCTTTTCATTGCTACTGGCATCTATGTTAGCTAACGCGATGTTCTATAAGCTAGATGGCAAATATGAACAGCCTATCCAAGTTGGACCGTTGAAATTCTCGTGGAGACAAGTTGTTACTGGTATTAAAAGTGCGCTTATTGTGGCACCCATAAACATACTCTTAGTGTTCTTGTTTCAAAAAGGAGCCGAAAGGTCCAGAAGTAACGATAACCATTGTTTTAAAGCTGCTGTAATCCATTGTATCGCCTGGTTCGGGTTATTTTTTTCTTGTTGTGTTTCTGCCACATTTACAGTCTTCTACAGTTTGATTTGGGAAAAGACTGTTAGCGAGCAGTGGCTTTTCTCAGTGTTCGTCTCACTTGCGCAGGATGTGACCTTCACGGAACCAGTAAAATTGTTCTTTACAGCTTTGGTCCTCGCAGCCATTTTCAAAATAAAGGCTAAAAGATCAGAGGTACTAGAATGCGAAAATTCTAATCAAGGTAAAAGTAGCAGCTCGAAAGAAAGATTTTGGAAGCTGAAATTGTCAGATGTGGAAAAGATGAGAAGAAGCCAAGCCAAGAAAGAGAACCTGTCACGTTATTTCGCAGATTTGGGTATCTACTTGGTCTTCGTTTTCTTGCTGATGGTAGTGTGCTATGGAAACAAAAATGACCATCGGTACCTGATGACAAAATCAATCCGAGATGGCTTGCCAAACTTTAGTAATGTGAGTAAAGTTTGCTTGGCTATGAACTTATTTAAAAAGGAATTTACTCTACAGTTGTGCTCAGGATTAACCTCTCTTGCAGCATTCTCTGAATTGGATTCTTAAGACTGAAAAAATGGTAGAAGATTAAACTTTTCTGGCTCAAGAAGGAAAATATGTTGCTTATCGTTTTTCACGAACGGGCAAAACTATATTTTGCATTCTTAACAAAATATTGTCCGCACATACGTGCCAAAAGGCGACCAATTCAAGAAAACGATGTAGGGCGCACGTGTATAAACATTCGTTTACCACGTGCTGATTAATCTCAATTCGCACGAGTACCTCTTTCTTTCGATTGTCTATCCATACTGATACAGTCACAAAGTTCAATTGACTTTTTGATTTTGAATCAATTTAGGTGGCAGACGACAAGATGTACTGGAGCTGGTTGCAAGATAATTTTATTCCTGGAGTGTTTTCTGGCAGATGGTACAACGGTCAAGAGGAGAAACAAACAACGTACATTGGAAATAAACATTCTCTTCTTGTTGGAATGCCTCGAATAAGGCAACTCAGAGTGAAATCGAGTAAGTCTTTTCCTATTCTGTACTTTTAATAACAAGGCAAATTAAATATTTATCAAGGGTTACACACCATTTTACCCGATACATGTATTGCTAACACTGTGTGAGGTGAATGAATAAAGGGGGTAAGTTTATATGGTAACTGTGGTGCTGCGTCGGTGGGAGAGTATAACAGGGTAATTTAGTATTATCAAGTGAGTTGTTAACGTTAATTGGCCACCGTAGAGAGTTTGAAAGCTGACGTTTCGAATGTTAGCCTTTCGTTAGTGAAATTAGCGAGGGGCTAACGCTCGAAATGTCAGCTTTGAAACTATTTACTATTAGAGATGCTTCGGCAAACACGAAGACTTATCTCAACAGAGAGCTACCTGTATCCAAACTTTAAAGTTAAGTTTTTCAGTCTCGTCAACTTTGTATGGAGAAAAGGCAGAGCACAAGTGAAAAAAATATCTCGGAACCAGACCACTTAAATAATTGTTGTTTAAATGGTTTCGTTGTTGATTGTCCTGGATTCCTATGTCAGGAAGGAAATACTCGCCCTTAATCAAAATCGGGAGTGAAATCCCACGCCGGCGAAAGTCATGGGGAACGGCCCAAAAGAGGCGACCATACTTAAAAAAAGATGGTACGTTAAGGCAAACGTTAGTATGAAATTTTCTCCTTTGCGCTTTTCAAACGTTTTGTTGCGCACAACAGAAGTGGGCATGTCTCCGTTTTTGATAACGAATTGCGGCGTACCAGCACATACAATGAATCTCAAAATAACCTTCTGGTACTATCCATTTTTGTCAAAATTGCAGCTTCGTGTACCATTGCAATGTTTAAAGAATGCTACAAAGGGTATTCTAACACAGACGAAGACAAGACCGCCTGCTTTAAGCCGGGATGGAAGCCTGTTGATAACTCCACGAGTAACGACGAATTGCCACGACTTTGCCCGAAGCCATGGCGATATCAAAGTGCGAAGGAAACCGACACCGTAGCAAAGTGGGGACGGTTGTCATTTTATCATGGAGAAGGATTTATAGCAGATCTTGGGAACGACAACCAAACAGGACATCGCATAATAACAAATTTAAAAAAAAGTTGTTGGCTAGACAAGCAAACGAGAGTTGTCGTCGCAGAGTTTTCCTCGTTTAATCCCTCAGTGAATATTTTAGGTGTTGCCACATACTTCTACGAAGTTGAGGCGTCGGGATTCAAAGTCGCCTCGACACAAATTGATGTCATTTCTCGTGATTCTTCGGATACAGCTTCACTTCAGTTTTACTCGATCTGCCTTTTTCTATTTATTTTACTCGTTATTCTGCATTTTGGAAGAGAGATCTTCAGAATTTATAGTCATCGCTCTCGTTATTTCCAGTCCGTGTGGCATTGGGTGGAGATGCTCCAAGTTGTTTTTTCTGTGTTAGCCGTTGTAATTTACCTTATACGACAACGTAGAGTAAATACAGCGACGGGAAAGTTGCAAGAAAACATTGACGCAAACATCAGTTTTCAAGAAGCTATAATTTGGCAGGAAGCAGACAATGCTGCACTTGGAGTCCTAATTTTTATCGTCACTGTAAAGCTCTTGAGAATCATTCGGTTGAATAGTCAAGTTGTTGTATTCTCCAAAGCATTGAAGATATCAGCGCGATCCTTGTCATCGTTTAGCATTGTTCTATTGACTTTCTTTATTGCATTTCTGCACTTCGGTGTTTTGATGTTTGGCACTGGATTTGAGCGCTATTCTTCTGTGCTTAAAGCAACTTATTTCCAACTCGAGCTAACTCTAGGGCGAGTGAAAGCTAGACCAATCAATGAACTGTCCGAGACTCACAAAATATACGCCAAAATCTTCTCCTTCTTAATTCTTTCAACCCTTACTATTGTCTGCATGAATTTTTTCATCGGTATGATAAACGATGCACTTCTGGAAGCAAAGAACACCGCTGGCCAAAGTGTACTGCACGAACTTGTCAATAAAGATCCTTGCATAAGCTCAAAGGACAGAAAAGCATTTTTCGATGTGATCAGTCACAAGCTGCGACAGTCGAAGGCCTCACGAACGCTAGACGAGATGGAGAAAAAAAGCACTTCAAATGTTAGCCTTGATTTCGAGAAAAGTTCAAAAATGAACTTTGATATCAAGGTTAGCGAGATGTGGGTTTTAAGGGAAATAAAAGCAGAGAAAACACCAAGCAACGTGGAGAGAAAATCATTCTTTGATAAGACAAGCAGAATGTTAAAAGCGATAAGAAGTATCAACTATAACGAACAAAGCAAGGGCAAAGGTAGAAAGAACGTAAGATTTCAGGAGGATGTCGTTGACTCTTTTCTTCGGAAATTGGATAAAAAGAAGAACGACTTGTTTCAACATCTAGATAGAGTTATTACAGGGTTTTCAGAGGAGGAAGAGGACATTTATCATTTGCTGAGCTACGTTGAAGGCTCACTCGGACCACGATGAAAAAGAAAAAAAGATAATTAAGATAAAATGAACAAATGTTTTGCCAGGCAGAGACATAAAATAAAAAAAATGTAGCTGTTGGCGACCATGAGCAAATAGATGGAGTTCCATTCAGGTAATACTCTAAGGAACTGTTTCTTTAAAATTTCGTCTTATTCATTTGCATATGTACGCATAATTTACAAAAAAAGCCGGGAATTACGTTAAGATCTGACCTGGGTAAACGTAACATACAAACTGAAGCTAAATAGGTTTATTGTTCCCCGTATCAACTGTGTACTTATCGAGATATGAGCCACGCGAGAAGTTTGGAGAGTAAGACAGATGCTTGACAGTTCGTGGAGCCACAGCTTTCTTTGTATTATAAATGTAGACAAATCCTTCAATGTTTTTTTTCTTAAAATGATGCCGTTTTTCTTAATAAGTGACAGTGACAGTTTGATTACCAGTTTTTGAAAACATCCTTAACTGTCGGCTGAAATAGTTACTCTACGCAAAATCGTAGACCAAACAAACTATCAAACTTTCCAGAGGACGTTTAACAAGTGAAAGTATCAAATCATTTATAAGGCTCCCCTACAGCAAAATAAATTCTTTTGGCCCGCACATCTATAAGGACATTGCACCAGGTTGGTAAAAAATAACACCTCATCTAGGCAAAGGAACCCCGATTAGACCGATAGCTCCTGCCATCAGAGTCTCAATAATGTGGGTTGCAAAAACCCACAATCAGAGACTACGTTAAGGTAATGGAAAACCAAAAAGGCAAACTGAAAATTTCTCCTAAGGGCCGCATGGAAATAATTTTATTTTAAAGTAATTTTGACTTCTGTAAAATATGCTTTAGTTCTGTTGGGATCTTGTAGTAATTCTGATATATCAGGTTCAATAGAGAGAGTACACCGCAGGGCAGCAAGAATTATATTTAATCTACCTAAAGATATGACATCATTTGACATGCTTAGCTAGACACGACTAGTGGCCTACACTTTCTTGGTATTATAAATTAGACATCTTCAAGCTTTTTCACAAAGGCTATAATGCCACTCTTCCCGACGCACTGTATGAAAACATCCTTAAATGTCGCTCAAATGGTTACTCTCATTACGACCTGTTTGTTGATAATGTCGGGGCGCTGTGTTATGGAACACTGTTTGCTACTATGAACAAGAAGTTGGACGCTCGAGTCCCGATGATCTGAAAAAAACGCCTGCCAGGGAATTCAAATTTGACACACTTTCCACTTGAACTGCTCGCCTTATACATACCGCTTTTTACTTATAAGTTATAATATATATAATTGTCTATTTTTAAATTCAAGTTGTATTAACATAACATGTAATTTTCCCTTTTCTTCATGCGATCCCACAAGCTTGTAGCTTAAAATATTATTGTGTATAAATAAAGGTCATCTATCTATTTATCTACTTATAGCGGAGCTCGCAGAGCGTAACCCCATAATTATACAAAATACTAGTAACCCATCAAGCCGAAAAAATTTGGATGTACGACCGTCCGACCGACCGTACAAGGTGCTACTTTTAGCATGCGCGGCCAACTGTACCACGGGCACTATCTTATAATCAGTCCTCTACACGAACACGTAGAAGTTGCGAGTGAAAATCCATGAATTTCGTGTTCTCAAACATCCCACGCTGGTTATTCCCTGAACTAGAGGGCGGTCTATTATGGAAGAACGTGAATGCCGAATAATTATCATCGAGATGATTCCTGTTTCTTAAAACTAATTAAGTACTTAGGGTACACATGGAAATCGTTGAAAACCACGAAAATGGTTGGATCTTCCTCTTTGTTTACCAGCGAGTCGAAGAGTATCTCTGGCTTGCTGAAGTCCTTGGGAGGAGGTTTTTTCCACCCATGCTTGCCCAGGGTGTATTTTCCAACCAAAACTCTGGCTAAATACATGAAGCAATCACCATTTGGGCCTGGTATTGAGTATGAATAGGAATAGGAGGCATCTTTTGCGAAGTAAACACCATCGCCATAAGCGTTACCTGTAAACGTTAAACGTGTAAAAAGAGTGAATCAAAGTTATTTACAGCAAATTGTCGGCAGCAATGGATCATGGGGTCAAAAGATGCGGCTTTCTATGAGTTTTTATATCGGTTGATAAATATGACAGGACATTTTATTCATGCGAACGCTGCAGTAATTTCGCTCTGTTGAACACAGAACTAACGAACCCGGTTAAATTATCACCTCTGTTTGACTTGCCATTGGCGTTACCATCACAGGGAGTGATTCTATGAATACAGAAAAAGCGTTATTTAGCTGAGCTACTAGGCATCAATACAACCACACCTTTACCATGCAAACATGGTAATGGCTTGGCGTCTTGCACGCATAAGTTTTCAAAATGGAGAAAATTTGTCCCCATCATACACGTACCGTTCGCGCCACATAGACTCCTATCAAATCCTTGAACATTGATCGCTCTGATGCTTTCTGCCTTTGTCCCATGGAAAAGTTCCTGTTCGTTGTCGATGGTTCCATTGTTTGCATCCATAGTTTGCTTCCTCACCATATAAGAATTATGCATCGATGGATTTTGAATGCGCTCGATGTTTGTGATTACCACCTTACCACGCATCGTTTGGAGGAACTTCTCTTGGACCTTTTTATATTCCTTGGAGTCCTTCTCGAGGCTGACCAGATGCAGTGTCTCTTCCTTTCCATTGACATCTCGAGGCTGGGGATCCCATTCATCAGGAAGAGGTAGCACTGGTTTAAAACAAAAATATAACAGTTTCATTGCGACCGACAAATTGCATTATATTCCCCTCTTCCAAATGACATTTTGTTTACCACAAAATCACTTTCCAAACGCTCTGTTTTCGATTTTCCCCGGGAAGTACGGTCATTTGGATAAAATCGAACAAGACATTTGCTCTGGAAATTGTGCCAGAAGACTCTAGCCAATCATACTGATTTTAAAAATAATATCACATTGGCCGTAAAGCAGGTAAGAAAAGAAGTACTTAACGTAGGTTAACTTAAAAGCGCACAGAGGGTTACAAATCAGGTAAACTATGACTGGAGGATTCTCACTCCTCTGTACGATTTTTTTCAGTCCGACTACCAATGAGATTAACTACGCTTGAAAAACATAGAGCAGAATTTTGAAGGTTAAACAACTCTGGAGATCAGCACTCGAGATGTCTATAAGCAGCTTCTGAAAGATGAGCTCTTAAGGATTGCCGTAGATAATAGACTACCTTCACAAAGGCGGAGACATCCTAAAATAATTATGCTGTGCATTCTAAACATCAAAAAAAGAATTGAATGACTTACATTTTCAACACATAAAATAATGCTGAAAATAAAAAATTACCGTCTGTCTTACTGTGCTTACCATCCATGCGCAGGACCCTTTTGATTGCTCCGGTTCTCAAGAACGTTACCTCTTCATTTCCGAAATTGATTTCAGCCTTCAAGTTCTGATGCGTGAATAGAAGGGATGGTTTCTTTGCTTTACAGGCTGATTCTATTTCATTGTTGGCCATTTTGTCGAAAGGAACGAGTTTTCCTCCTGTATTGACCAGGTACCATTGCACAGTTTTCGACATCTGCTCCGCCAGCTCCTGCCTATGCTCCCTTTCCACGTGCTCTTGGATCACATTTGATAGTTCTGAGTTGATTTCCATTACATCTTTCGGGAGCCCTTGCAATATTATAGTCCGCGGTTCTGGTTGATCCAATTTTACATCTCGCATACGAGACATTTTCTTCAGCTCTCGCATACTTCCTTTGGAAAGACGACCGATCACTTCGTGCTTGATTACACGAGGATCACCGCAAGCTTTCATTACCCCTTCTTTCAAGGCAGTATCAACCGCATCAAAGGACTCCAGGCAGCCGTGAAAGATGATCTTCTGGCGACGATGTTTTCTTCTTAATTCCTCAGTAGACGATTCTGTACTTGTTTCGTGATAGGTGAGATCATCGTCTTGTTCAGCACATGAAGAGGATTCTGAGACTTCTTTTTGGATTGCCTCCAGCTCCGCTAAGTACGCACCAATGATAGAAACATCAAAAACAACTACTCTGACCTCACGAATGGAATTAAATGGTTTCACGGTGCATGCACGGATTGCCCCAAAAACCACCTCTGCCGATTGCTCAGCTGTATGTCCTAGTCCTCCGCTACCAACTGCTGGAATGGACACTGACTTCAAACCCACAGAATCCACTTCTTTGAGCGCCTTCTCCACGCAAGTTTGAAGATGTTTCTTCGTTCCTGGTCCCACAACCATATGAATGATGTGCATTGCAGACAAGCAGCCGCCTGAAGTAGTCACGATATCTCCTGGGACCTGAGGTGCCTTTGACTGTAACTCGTCTTCTACAGTGCTTCCACTTGCTGCAAGGATAGCGCTGCTTAGGGTTCCACTATTCATTTTCAGATCTTGAGTTACTACGTTACATATGGCATCTGATCTATCCTGGGTTATGTCACCTTTCAACACCTTCAACGATAGCTCGCCGATTTGAATCTCTTTGCATTTAAAGTCAGGTGGAACAGGTTTAAGTTTGCTTCGGCGAACCTGTGGCTTTCGAGGTTTCACGTCAGGTCTTTTTTCCTTCTTAAACTCTTCAAATTGTTCTTCGAACGTTCCTATTCCTTTCTGATCACCGCTAAACACGACAAATCTTATTTCCTCCAAGGGAGAATCTGGATTGGCGTGACTGTAGTCGACAGCTGCCTGGATCATAATCTGGACAGCTTTGGCGTAAGGAAAACCAAGATTACCGGTTCCAACAAGTGGTAGGCCAATAGAACATGCACCAAGCTCCGAAGCTTTGTCAAAGCACTTTCGCAGTAGATCCTGTAGAAGCTATGATCAAAAGAATTTTAAAAAAATGAGTGGGACGAGACGATTTGTGCTGAAAATATGGCAGTGAAGCAAACTGCATCAGGATAAAACCAAGAATACAATTTCTACAGCGTGGCTAAGTTTTAGCCAATGCTCAAAGCAGCATTAAAGTCAAAGTCATTCTCGTACCTGCTCGTCCTGAGGATTTCC